TAGACTCTGAGACCCGGTCTCTACTCTAGACACTGACCTTGAGACCCGGTCTCTACTCTAGACTCTGAGACCCTGAGACCCGGTCTCTTCTTTAGACACTGAGACCCTGAGACCCGGTCTCTACTCTAGACACTGACCCTGAGACCCGGTCTCTACTCTAGACACTGACCCTGAGACCCGGTCTCTACTCTAGACACTGAGACCCGGTCTCTACTCTAGACACTGAACCTGAGACCCGGTCTCTACCCTAGACACTGAGACCCTGAGACCCGGTCTCTACCCTAGACACTGAGACCCAGTCTCTACTCTAGACTCTGAGACCCTGAGACCAGGTCTCTACTCTAGACACTGACCCTGAGACCCGGTCTCTACTCTAGACTCTGAGACTCTGAGACCCGGTCTCTACTCTAGACTCTGAGACTCTGAGACCCGGTCTCTACTCTAGACACTGACCCTGAGACCCGGTCTCTACTCTAGACACTGAGACCCGGTCTCTACTCTAGACTCTGAACCTGAGACCCGGTCTCTACTCTAGACACTGACCCTGAGACCCGGTCTCTACTCTAGACACTGACCCTGAGACCCCGTCTCTACCCTAGACACTGACCCTGAGACCCGGTCTCAACTCTAGACTCTGAGACCCTGAGACCCGGTCTCTACTCTAGACTCTGACCCTGAGACCCGGTCTCTACTCTAGACACTGAGACCCTGAGACCCGGTCTCAACTCTAGACTCTGAGACCCTGAGACCCGGTCTCCACCCTAGACCCTGAGACCCGGTCTCTGCTCTAGAGACCGGGTCTCTAGAGTAGAGACCCGGTCTCTACTCTAGACTCTGAGACCCTGAGACCCGGTCTCTACTCTAGACTCTGAGACCGGGTCTCTACCCTAGAGACCCGGTCTCTACTCTAGACTCTGAGACACTGAGACCCTGAGACCCGGTCTCTACCCTAGAGCCCCGGTCTCTACTCTAGACTCTGAGACACTGAGACCCTGAGACCCGGTCTCTACCCTAGAGACCCGGTCTCTACTCTAGACTCTGAGACACTGAGACCCTGAGACCCGGTCTCTACCCTAGAGACCCGGTCTCTACTCTAGACTCTGAGACTCTGAGACCCTGAGACCCGGTCTCTACCCTAGCGCCCCGGTCTCTACTCTAGACTCTGAGACCCTGAGACCCGGTCTCTACTCTAGACTCTGAGACTCTGAGACCCTGAGACCCGGTCTCTACCCTAGAGCCCCGGTCTCTACTCTAGACTCTGAGACTCTGAGACCCTGAGACCCGGTCTCTACCCTAGAGCCCCGGTCTCTCGACCCAATCTCAACACACTGCAACCCCCCGCGCCTGCAGCTGCTCCATTTCGGCGCCCCCCTCACCTCCGTCGCCATCGAAACGAAATCGGCCACCCGTCTCTCCGCGCTGCCTGACGTCTCCGAGGGACGGAACGGCCCTCGTCAACGTCGTCATCCACTCCTCCTCCTCTTCAGGACGCCGGGCAGCGCGAGTCTCCGTCGTCCCGGCGGTCGGATGACGATGAAGACGACGACGATGATGATGATGATGCAGCTCCAGTTCCGTCGGCAGCGTCTCCGACCTCACAAACACCTTGCCGTGACTCGGATCGAACTCGGGCCTGGCCGCGGTGCCACTGGGAGTGTCCACGGCGGTGTCCCTGGGGGTGTGCCTGGGGGTGTCCCTGGGGGTGTCCCTGGGGGTGTCCCTGGGGGTGTCCCTGGGGGTGACCCTGGTTGTGTCCCTGGGCGTGTCCACGGCGGTGTCCCTGGGGGTGCCCCTGGGGGTGTCCCTGGGGGTGTCCACGGCGGTGTCCCTGGGGGTGTCCCTGGGCGTGTCCCTGGGCGTGTCCCTGGGGGTGTCCACGGCGGTGCCCCTGGGGGTGCCCCTGTGGGTGTCCCTGGGCGTGTCCACGGCGGTGCCCCTGGGGGTGTCCCTGTGGGTGTCCACGGCGGTGCCCCTGGGGGTGTCCCTAGGGGTGTCCCTGGGGGTGTCCACGGCGGTGCCCCTGGGGCTGTCCCTGGGGGTGTCCCTGGGGGTGCCCCTGGGGGTGTCCCTGGGCGTGTCCCTGGGGGTGTCCACGGCGGTGTCCCTGGGGGTGTCCCTGGGGGTGTCCACGGCGGTGCCCCTGGGGGTGACCCTGGGGGTGTCCCTGGGGGTGTCCACGGCGGTGCCCCTGGGGGTGTCCCTGTGGGTGTCCACGGCGGTGCCCCTGGGGGTGTCCCTAGGGGTGTCCCTGGGGGTGTCCACGGCGGTGCCCCTGGGGCTGTCCCTGGGGGTGTCCCTGGGGGTGTCCCTGGGGGTGTCCCTGTGGGTGTCCCTGGGGGTGTCCCTGGGGGTGTCCCTGGGGGTGTCCCTGGGGGTGTCCACGGCGGTGCCCCTGGGGGTGTCCCTGGGGGTGCCCCTGGGCGTGTCCCTGGGCGTGTCCCTGGGGGTGTCCCTGGGGGTGTCCCTGGGGGTGTCCCTGGGCGTGTCCCTGGGCGTGTCCCTGGGAGTGTCCCTGGGGGTGTCCCTGGGGGTGTCCACGGCGGTGCCCCTGGGGGTGTCCCTGGGCGTGTCCCTGGGCGTGTCCCTGGGGGTGTCCCTGGGGGTGTCCCTGGGGGTGCCCCTGGGGGTGCCCCTGGGCGTGTCCCTGGGCGTGTCCCTGGGGGTGTCCCTGGGGGTGTCCCTGGGGGTGTCCACGGCGGTGCCCCTGGGGGTGTCCCGGGTGGGACGCCCGGCGGTGGATTCGTTGGCATCGTCGTTGCCGCCGCCGGATCCGCCGGCTGAACGGGCGTCGAGGTCACGGGGGTGAGCGACGGCAAGCACCCCTCCATGAGCCGTAGAGATGGTGGATCTGGGAGTGTCTGTGTGGTGTGAACGTTGTTCTGGAGAGATCGTGAGTCTGGGAGTATCTGTGTGGTGTGAACGTTGTTCTGGAGAGATCGTGAGTCTGGGAGTATCTGTGTGGTGTGAACGTTGTTCTGGAGAGATCGTGGGTCTGGGAGTATCTGTGTGGTGTGAACGTTGTTCTGGAGAGATCGTGGATCTGGGAGTCTCTGTATGGTGTGAAAGTTGTTCTGGAGAGATCGTGGGTCTGTGCGTGTCTGTGTGGTGTGAAAGTTGTTCTGGAGAGATCGTGGGTCTGGGAGTCTCTGTGTGGTGTGAACGTTGTTCTGGAGAGATCGTGAGTCTGGGAGTATCTGTGTGGTGTGAACGTTGTTCTGGAGAGATCGTGGGTCTGGGAGTATCTGTGTGGTGTGAACGTTGTTCTGGAGAGATCGTGGATCTGGGAGTCTCTGTATGGTGTGAAAGTTGTTCTGGAGAGATCGTGGGTCTGTGCGTGTCTGTGTGGTGTGAAAGTTGTTCTGGAGAGATCGTGGGTCTGGGAGTCTCTGTGTGGTGTGAACGTTGTTCTGGAGAGATCGTGGGTCTGGGAGTCTCTGTGTGGTGTGAACGTTGTTCTGGAGAGATCGTGGATCTGGGAGTCTCTGTATGGTGTGAAAGTTGTTCTGGAGAGATCGTGGGTCTGTGCGTGTCTGTGTGGTGTGAAAGTTGTTCTGGAGAGATCGTGGGTCTGGGAGTCTCTGTGTGGTGTGAACGTTGTTCTGGAGAGATCGTGAGTCTGGGAGTATCTGTGTGGTGTGAACGTTGTTCTGGAGAGATCGTGGGTCTGGGAGTATCTGTGTGGTGTGAACGTTGTTCTGGAGAGATCGTGGATCTGGGAGTCTCTGTATGGTGTGAAAGTTGTTCTGGAGAGATCGTGGGTCTGTGCGTGTCTGTGTGGTGTGAAAGTTGTTCTGGAGAGATCGTGGGTCTGGGAGTCTCTGTGTGGTGTGAACGTTGTTCTGGAGAGATCGTGGGTCTGGGAGTCTCTGTGTGGTGTGAACGTTGTTCTGGAGAGATCGTGGGTCTGGGAGTATCTGTGTGGTGTGAACGTTGTTCTGGAGAGATCGTGGGTCTGGGAGTGTCTGTGTGGTGTGAACGTTGTTCTGGAGAGATCGTGGGTCTGGGACTGTCTGTGTGGTGTGAACGTTGTTCTGGAGAGATCGTGGGTCTGGGAGTCTCTGTGTGGTGTGAACGTTGTTCTGGAGAGATCGTGGGTCTGGGAGTATCTGTGTGGTGTGAACGTTGTTCTGGAGAGATCGTGGGTCTAGGAGTCTCTGTGTGGAGTGAAAGTTGTTCTGGAGAGATCGTGGGTCTGGGAGTCTCTGTGTGGTGTGAACGTTGTTCTGGAGAGATCGTAGGTCTGGGAGTGTCTGTGTGGTGTGAACGTTGTTCTGGAGAGATCGTGGATCTGGGAGTGTCTGTGTGGTGTGAACGTTGTTCTGGAGAGATCGTGGGTCTGGGAGTGTCTGTGTGGTGTGAAAGTTGTTCTGGAGAGATCGTGGGTCTGGGAGTCTCTGTGTGGTGTGAACGTTGTTTTGGAGAGATCGTGGGTCTGGGACTGTCTGTGTGGTGTGAACGTTGTTCTGGAGAGATCGTGGGTCTGTGAGTCTCTGTGTGGTGTGAACGTTGTTCTGGAGAGATCGTGGGTCTGGGAGTATCTGTGTGGTGTGAACGTTGTTCTGGAGAGATCGTGGGTTTGGGAGTCTCTGTGTGGTGTGAAAGTTGTTCTGGAGAGATCGTGGGTCTGGGAGTGTCTGTGTGGTGTGAACGTTGTTCTGGAGAGATCGTGGGTCTGGGAGTGTCTGTGTGGTGTGAAAGTTGTTCTGGAGAGATCGTGGGTCTGGGAGTCTCTGTGTGGTGTGAACGTTGTTTTGGAGAGATCGTGGGTCTGGGAGTGTCTGTGTGGTGTGAACATTGTTCTGGAGAGATCGTGGGTCTGGGAGTCTCTGTGTGGTGTGAACGTTGTTCTGGAGAGATCGTGGGTCTGGGAGTATCTGTGTGGTGTGAACGTTGTTCTGGAGAGATCGTGGGTCTGGGAGTATCTGTGTGGTGTGAACGTTGTTCTGGAGAGATCGTGGGTCTGGGAGTGTCTGTGTGGTGTGAACGTTGTTCTGGAGAGATCATGGGTCTGGGAGTATCTGCGTGGTGTGAACGTTGTTCTGGAGAGATCGTGGGTCTGGGAGTGTCTGTGTGGTGTGAACGTTGTTCTGGAGAGATCGTGGGTCTGGGAGTATCTGTGTAGTGTGAACGTTGTTCTGGAGAGATCGTGGGTCTGGGAGTGTCTGTGTGGTGTGAACGTTGTTCTGGAGAGATCGTGGGTCTGGGAGTATCTGTGTGGTGTGAACGTTGTTCTGGAGCGATCGTGGGTCTGGGAGTGTCTGTGTGGTGTGAACGTTGTTCTGGAGAGATCGTGGGTCTGGGAGTCTCTGTGTGGTGTGAACGTTGTTCTGGAGAGATCGTGGGTCTGGGAGTGTCTGTGTGGTGTGAAAGTTGTTCTGGAGAGATCGTGGGTCTGGGAGTGTCTGTGTGGTGTGAACGTTGTTCTGGAGAGATCGTGGATCTGGGAGTGTCTGTGTGGTGTGAAAGTTGTTCTGGAGAGATCGTGGGTCTGGGGGTCTCTGTGTGGAGTGAACGTTGTTCTGGAGAGATCGTGGGTCTGGGAGTCTCTGTGTGGTGTGAACGTTGTTCTGGAGAGATCGTGGATCTGGGAGTGTCTGTGTGGTGTGAAAGTTGTTCTGGAGAGATCGTGGATCTGTGAATCTCTGTGTGGTGTGAACGTTGTTCTGGAGAGATCGTGGGTCTGGGAGTCTCTGTGTGGTGTGAACGTTGTTCTGGAGAGATCGTGGGTCTGGGAGTCTCTGTGTGGTGTGAAAGTTGTTCTGGAGAGATCGTGGGTCTGGGAGTCTCTGTGTGGTGTGAACGTTGTTCTGGAGAGATCGTGGGTCTGTGAGTCTCTGTGTGGTGTGAACGTTGTTCTGGAGAGATCGTGGATCTGGGAGTGTCTGTGTGGTGTGAACGTTGTTCTGGAGAGATCGTGGGTCTGGGAGTCTCTGTGTGGTGTGAAAGTTGTTCTGGAGAGATCGTGGGTCTGGGAGTATCTGTGTGGTGTGAACGTTGTTCTGGAGAGATCGTGGGTCTGTGAGTCTCTGTGTGGTGTGAACGTTGTTCTGGAGAGATCGTGGATCTGGGAGTGTCTGTGTGGTGTGAACGTTGTTCTGGAGAGATCGTGGGTCTGTGAATATATGTGTGGTGTGAACGTTGTTCTGGAGAGATCGTGGGTCTGGGAGTATCTGTGTGCTGTGAACGTTGTTCTGGAGAGATCGTGGATCTGGGAGTGTCTGTGTGGTGTGAACGTTGTTCTGGAGAGATCGTGGGTCTGGGAGTCTCTGTGTGGTGTGAAAGTTGTTCTGGAGAGATCGTGGGTCTGGGAGTATCTGTCTGGTGTGAACGTTGTTCTGGAGAGATCGTGGGTCTGTGAGTCTCTGTGTGGTGTGAACGTTGTTCTGGAGAGATCGTGGATCTGGGAGTCTCTGTGTGGTGTGAACGTTGTTCTGGAGAGATCGTGGATCTGGGAGTATCTGTGTGGTGTGAACGTTGTTCTGGAGAGATCGTGGGTCTGGGAGTATCTGTGTGGTGTGAACGTTGTTCTGGAGAGATCGTGGGTCTGTGAGTCTCTGTGTGGTGTGAACGTTGTTCTGGAGAGATCGTGGGTCTGGGAGTCTCTGTGTGGTGTGAACGTTGCTCTGGAGAGATCGTGGGTCTGGGAGTCTCTGTGTGGTGTGAACGTTGTTCTGGAGAGATCGTGGATCTGGGAGTCTCTGTGTGGTGTGAAAGTTGTTCTGGAGAGATCGTGGGTCTGGGAGTGTCTGTGTGGTGTGAATGTTGTTCTGGAGAGATCGTGGATCTGTGAGTATCTGTGTGTTGTGAACGTTGTTCTGGAGAGATCGTGGATCTGTGAGTATCTGCGTGGTGTGAACGTTGTTCTGGAGAGATCATAGGTCTGTGAGTCTCTGTGTGGTGTGAACGTTGTTCTGGAGAGCTCGTGGGTCTGTGAGTATCTGCGTGGTGTGAACGTTGTTCTGGACAGATCGTGGGTCTGTGAGTATCTGCGTGGTGTGAACGTTGTTCTGGAGAGATCGTGGGTCTGGGAGTCTCTGTGTGGTGTGAACGTTGTTCTGTAGAGATCGTGGATCTGGGAGTGTCTGTGTGGTGTGAACGTTGTTCTGGAGAGATCGTGGATCTGGGAGTGTCTGTTTGGTGTGAAAGTTGTTCTGGAGAGATCGTGGGTCTGGGAGTATCTGTGTGGTGTGAACGTTGTTCTGGAGAGATCGTGGGTCTGGGAGTGTCTGTGTGGTGTGAACGTGGTTCTGGAGAGATCGTGGGTCTGGGAGTATCTGCGTGGTGTGAACGTTGTTCTGGAGAGATAGTGGATCTGGGAGTGTCTGTGTGGTGTGAATGTTGTTCTGGAGAGATCGTGGATCTGGTAGTCTCTGCGTGGTGTGAAAGTTGTTCTGGAGAGATCGTGGGTCTGGGAGTCTCTGTGTGGTGTGAACGTTGTTCTGGAGAGATCGTGGGTTTGTGAGTCTCTGTGTGGTGTGAACGTTGTTCTGGAGAAATCGTGGGTCTGGGAGTGTCTGTGTGGTGTGAACGTTGTTCTGGAGAGATCGTGGGTCTGGGAGTGTCTGTGTGGTGTGAAAGTTGTTCTGGAGAGATCGTGGATCTGGGAGTCTCTGTGTGGTGTGAACGTTGTTCTGGAGAGATCGTGGGTCTGGGAGTCTCTGTGTGGTGTGAACGTTGTTCTCGAGAGATCGTGGGTCTGGGAGTGTCTGTGTGGTGTGAAAGTTTTTCTGGAGAGATCGTGGGTCTGTGAGTATCTGTGTGGTGTGAACGTTTTTCTGGAGAGATCGTGGATCTGGGAGTGTCTGTGTGGTGTGAACGTTGTTCTGGAGAGATCGTGGATCTGGGAGTATCTGTGTGGTCTGAACGTTGTTCTGGAGAGATCGTGGGTCTGGGAGTCTCTGTGTGGTGTGAAAGTTGTTCTGGAGAGATTGAGGATCTGGGAGTCTCTGTGTGGTGTGAACGTTGCTCTGGAGAGATCGTGGATCTGGGAGTCTCTGTGTGGTGTGAACGTTGCTCTGGAGAGATCGTGGGTCTGGTAGTCTCTGTGTGGTGTGAACGTTGTTCTGGAGAGATCGTGGGTCTGGGAGTCTCTGTGTGGTGTGAACGTTGTTCTGGAGAGATCGTGGGTCTGGGAGTGTCTGTGTGGTGTGAACGTTGTTCTGGAGAGATCGTGGGTCTGTGAGTATCTGTGTGGTGTGAAAGTTGTTCTGGAGAGATTGAGGCTCTGGGAGTCTCTGTGTGGTGTGAAAGTTGTTCTGGAGAGATCGTGGGTCTGTGAGTATCTGTGTGGTGTAACCGTTGTTCTGGAGAGATCGTGGGTCTGTGAGTCTCTGTGTGGTGTGAACGTTGTTCTGGAGAGATCGTGGATCTGGGAGTCTCTGTGTGGTGTGAACGTTGTTCTGGAGAGATCGTGGATCTGTGAGTTTCTGCGTGGTGTGAAAGTTGCTCTGGAGAGATCGTGGGTCTGTGAGTCTCTGTGTGGTGGGAACGTTGTTCTGGAGAGATCGTGGATCTGGGAGTCTCTGTGTCACCTGAACCTCGCTCAGTAGAGATTGGAGCTCTGTTAGTCTCTGTGTCACCTGAACTTTGCTCAGTAGAGACCGGGGTTCTGTGATTCTCTGTGTCACCTGAACGTTCCTCAGTAGAGATCGGGGCTCTGTGATTCTCTGTGAGACCTGAACCTCGTTCAGTAGAGACCGGGGCTCTGTGAGTCTCTGTGTCACCTGAACCTCGTTCAGTAGAGACCGGGGCTCTGTGAGTCTCTGTGTCACCTGAACTTTGCTCAGTAGAGATCGGGGCTCTGTGAGTCTCTGTGTCACCTGAACTTTGCTCGGTAGAGATCGGGGCTCTGTGAGTCTCTGTGTCACCTGAACTTTGCTCAGTAGAGACCGGGGCTCTGTGAGTCTCTGTGTCACCTGAACTTTGCTCAGTAGAGACCGGGGCTCTATGAGTCTCTGTGTCACCTGAACTTTGCTCAGTAGAGATCGGGGCTCTGTGAGTCTCTGTGTCACCTGAACTTTGCTCAGTAGAGACCGGGGCTCTGTGAGTCTCTGTGTCACCTGAACCTCGTTCAGTAGAGACCGGGGCTCTGTGTGTCTCTGTGTCACCTGAACCTCGCTCAGTAGAGACCGGGGCTCTGTGAGTCTCTGTGTCACCTGAACGTTCCTCAGTAGAGACCGGGGCTCTGTGAGTCTCTGTGTCACCTGAACCCCGTTCAGTAGAGACCGAGGCTCTATGAGTCTCTGTGTCACCTGAACGTTCCTCAGTAGAGACCGGGGCTCTGTGAGTCTCTGTGTCACCTGAACGTTCCTCAGTAGAGATCGGGGCTCTGTGAGTCTCTGTGTCACCTGAACTTTGCTCAGTAGAGATCGGGGCTCTGTGAGTCTCTGTGTCACCTGAACATTCCTCAGTAGAGATCGGGGTTCTGTGAGTCTCTGTGTCACCTGAACCTCGTTCAGTAGAGATCGGGGCTCTGTGAGTCTCTGTGTCACCTGAACATTCCTCAGTAGAGACTGGGGCTCTGTGAGTCTCTGCGATACCTGAACGTTCCTCAGTAGAGATCGGGGCTCTGGGAGTCTCTGTGTCACCTGAACGTTCCTCAGTAGAGACCGGGGCTCTGTGAGTCTCTGTGAGACCTGAACCTCGTTCAGTAGAGATCGGGGCTCTGTGAGTCTCTGTGTCACCTGAACGTTCCTCAGTAGAGACCGGGGCTCTGTGAGTCTCTGTGTCACCTGAACTTTGCTCAGTAGAGATCGGGGTTCTGTGAGTCTCTGTGTCAGCTGAACTTTGCTCAGTAGAGATCGGGGCTCTGTTAGTCTCTGTGAGACCTGAACGTTCCTCAGTAGAGATCGGGGCTCTGTGAGTCTCTGTGTCCCCTGAACTTTGCTCAGTAGAGATCGGGGCTCTGTGAGTCTCTGTGTCGCCTGAACCTCGTTCAGTAGAGACCGGGGCTCTGTGAGTCTCTGTGTCACCTGAACCTCGTTCAGTAGAGATCGGGGCTCTGTGAGTCTCTGTGGCACCTGAACGTTCCTCAATAGAGATCGGGGCTCTGTGAGTCTCTCTGTCACCTGGACTTTGCTCAGTAGAGATCGGGGCTCTGTGAGTCTCTGTGTCACCTGAACTTTGCTCAGTAGAGACCGGGGCTCTGTGAGTCTCTGTGTCACCTGAACCTCGCTCAGTAGAGACTGGGGCTCTGTGAGTCTCTGTGTCACCTGAACGTTCCTCAGTAGAGACCGGGGCTCTGCGAGTCTCTGTGAAACCTGAACCTCGTTCAGCAGAGACCGGGGCTCTGTGAGTCTCTGTGTCACCTGAACTTTGCTCAGTAGAGACCGGGGCTCTGTGAGTCTCTATGTCACCTGAACCTCGTTCAGTAGAGACCGGGGCTCTGTGAGTCTCTGTGAGACCTGAACGTTCCTCAGTAGAGACCGGGGCTCTGTGAGTCTCTGTGTCACCTGAACCTCGTTCAGTAGAGATCGGGGCTCTGTGAGTCTCTGTGTCACCTGAACTTTGCTCGGTAGAGACCGGGGCTCTGTGAGTCTCTGTGTCACCTGAACTTTGCTCAGTAGAGACCGGGGCTCTGTGAGTCTCTGTGTCACCTGAACCTCGTTCAGTAGAGATCGGGGCTCTGTGAGTCTCTGTGTCCCCTGAACTTTGTTCAGTACAGATCGGGGCTCTGTGAGTCTCTGTGAGACGTGAACCTCGTTCAGTAGAGACCGGGGTTCTGTGAGTCTCTCTGTCATCTGAACTTTGCTCAGTAGAGATCGGGGCTCTGTGAGTCTCTGTGTCACGTGAAATTTGCTCAGTAGAGATCGGGGCTCTGTGAGTCTCTCTGTCATCTGAACTTTGCTCAGTAGAGATCGGGGCTCTGTGAGTCTCTGTGTCACCTGAACTTTGCTCAGTAGAGACTGGGGCTCTGTGAGTCTCTGTGAAACCTGAACCTCGCTCAGTAGAGATCGGGGCTCTGTGAGTCTCTGTGTCACCTGAACTTTGCTCAGTAGAGACCGGGGCTCTGTGAGTCTCTGTGTCACCTGAACTTTGCTCAGTAGAGATCGGGGCTCTGTGAGTCTCTGCGGTAGTAGCGGTGGCGGTGGTGGCGGTTGTGGCGGTGGTGGCGGTGGTGGTGGTGGTGGTGGTGGTGGAGGTAGCGGTGGTGGTGGCGTTGGTGGAGGTGGTGGAGGTAGTGGTGGTGGTGGCGGGGGTGGTGGCGGTGGTGGTGGTGGTGGCGGTGGTGGTGGCGGTAGCGGTGGTGGCGGTAGCGGTGGTGGTGGCGGTGGCGGTAGTGGTGGCGGGGGTGGTGGCGGTGGTGGTGGTGGTGGCGGTGGTGGTGGCGGTAGCGGTGGTGGCGGTAGCGGTGGTGGTGGCGGTGCTGGTGGTGGTGGCGGTGGCGGTAGCGGTGGTGGTGGTGGTGGCGGTAGTGGCGATGCCGTGGGTCTCAGGCACGGCGGTGTCCCGTGGAGAGCCTTCGGCCAAGGCAGTCACCACATTCGAGGTGCCGTCTGGAGGTTGGGTGACTGGCAAGTGAGTCTCAGGCAAGGCACTGTCATCGTCCTGCACGACTTTCCCCATGCCAGCCGCAACTTCCTCCACTCCCACCACCAACACCTCATCATCATCATCATCACCATCACCACCATCATCATCATCACCATCATCATCATCACCATCATCATCACAACCATCATCCTCCACCTTAACTGCCCTCTCCACATCCACCACCACTGCCTCCACCTCCTCCACCTCCACATCCCCCTCCTCCTCCACCACATCCTCCTCCACCTCCTCCTCCACCACATCCCCCTCCTCCTCCACCACATCCTCCTCCACCTCCACCTTCACCACCACCTCCTCCACCTCCACCTCTTCCACCTCCACTACCTCCTCCTCCTCCACCTCCACCTCCACCTTCACCACCTCCACCACCTCCTCCACCACCTCCTCCACCACCTCCACTACCTCCTCCTCCTCCACCACCTCCACCTCCTCCACCTTCACCACCTCCTCCACCTCCACCACCTCCACCACCTCCACCACCTCCACCACCTCCTCCACCTTCACCACCTCCTCCACCTCCTCCACCTCCTCCACATCCTCCACCACCTCCACCACCTCCACCACCTCCTCCACCTCCACCGTTGAACGGAGCAGCGCCTCTGCCTCCTCCCCGTCTTCCTCCGCCGACACGCCCCGCCTCGTCCAGGTTGGCCCGCCGAAACGTCGGACTCCGCCGCCGCTCAGCGCCCGCCGCAGGGCACGGCCGAGGCCTCGCGAGCACCGGGCCAGAGCGGAGAGCCACCAGGCGACAGCCATGGCCAGGAGGACCAGGAGGCCTCGCGGCGGCGATGGACGAGGAGGAGGAGGACGAGGAGGACGAGGAGGAGGAGGACGAGGAGGAGGAGGTTCCTTCTCCACCTCCACCACATCCTCATCATCCTCCTCATCATCCTCCTCATCATCCTCCTCATCATCATCCTCATCATCATCCTCATCATCCTCCTCATCATCCTCCTCATCATCCTCCTCATCATCCTCCTCATCATCATCATCATCCTCCTCCTCCTCATCCTCATCATCGTCCCACCGCTCTCCGTCCGTCCGCGGTGCGGGAACAGCGAGCGGCGTGGACTCCATCATCACTCAGAGAGAGACGAGGAGAGGGAGGCAGGTGGGTGGGTGGGTGGTGGGTGGGTGGGTGGGCGGTGGTGGGCGGTGGTGGGTGGTGAACTCCTCCACTGTGTGACGACAGAGACAGAGACTGAGGGCCGAGAAGATCGCCCCGCCCCCCCCCCCAACCCCCCCCCCCCCCACCCCCCCCCCCCCCCACCCCACCCCCCCCCCCCCCCCCCCAAAGACACACACACAGAGAGACACAGAGACACACACAGAGACACAGAGACACACAGAGACACTCACAGAGACACTCACAGAGACACACAGAGAGACACACAGAGACACACAGAGACACACAGAGACACACACAGACACACAGAGACACAGAGAGACACAGATACACTCACAGAGACACTCACAGAGACACTCACAGAGACACAGAGACACAGAGACACAGACACACACAGAGACACTCACAGAAACACACAGAGACACTCACAGAGACACTCACAGAGACACACAGAGACACAGAGAGACACAGAGACACACACAGAGACACTCACAGAGACACTCACAGAGACACAGAGACATACAGAGACACAGACACACACAGAGACACTCACAGAGACACACAGAGACACTCACAGAGACACTCACAGAGACACACAGAGAGACACACAGAGACACTCAGAGACACACAGAGACACACAGAGACTCACAGAGACACAGAGACACACAGAGACACTCACAGAGACACAGAGACACACAGAGACACTCACAGAGACACAGAAACACACAGAGACACACAGAGACACAGAGAGACACAGAGATACTCACAGAGACACTCACAGAGACACAGAGACACAGACACACACAGAGACACTCACAGAGACACACAGAGACACTCACAGAGACACTCACAGAGACACACAGAGAGACACACACAGAGACACTCACAGAGACACAGATACACAGAGACACAGACACACACAGAGACACTCACAGAGACACACAGAGACACTCACAGAGACACAGAGACACAGAGACACAGGCACACACAGAGACACTCACAGAGACACTCACAGAGACACACAGAGACACTCACAGAGACACTCACAGAGACACACAGAGAGACACACAGAGAGACACACAGAGAGACACAGAGACATTCACAGAGACACACAGAGACACTCACAGAGACACACAGAGACACACAGAGACACACACAGACACACACAGAGACACACAGAAACACACAGAGACACTCACAGAGACTCACAGAGACACAGAGACACTCACAGAGACACACAGAGACACTCACAGAGACACAGAAACACACAGAGACACTCAAAGAGACACTCACAGAGACACAGAGACACACACAGAGACACTCACAGACACACTCACAGAGACACACAGAGAGACACACAAAGACACACAGAGACACTCACAGAGACACAGAGAGAGACACACAGAAACACACAGAGAAACTCACAGAGACTCACAGAGACACTCACAGAGACACACAGATACACTCACAGAGACACTCACAGAGACACACAGAGAGACACACACAGAGACACTCACAGAGACACAGATACACAGAGACACAGACACACACAGAGACACTCACAGAGACACACAGAGACACTCACAGAGACACTCACAGAGACACAGAGACACAGGCACACACAGAGACACTCACAGAGACACTCACAGAGACACACAGAGACACTCACAGAGACACTCACAGAGACACACAGAGAGACACACAGAGAGACACACAGAGAGACACAGAGACATTCACAGAGACAGACACAGAGACATTCACAGAGAGACACAGAGACATTCACAGAGACACACAGAGACACTCACAGAGACACACAGAGAGAGAGACACACAGAGACACACAGAGACACACACAGACACACACAGAGACACACAGAAACACACAGAGACACTCACAGAGACTCACAGAGACACTCACAGAGACACAGAGACACTCACAGAGACACACAGAGACACTCACAAAAACACAGAAACACACAGAGACACTCAAAGAGACACTCACAGAGACACAGAGACACACACAGAGACACTCACAGACACACTCACAGAGACACACAGAGAGACACACAAAGACACACAGAGACACTCACAGAGACACAGAGAGAGACACACAAAAACACACAGAGAAACTCACAGAGACTCACAAAGACACTCACAGAGACACATAGAGACAAAGAGACACTCACAGAGACACACAGAGACACAGAGACACTCACAGAGACACTCACAGAGACACACAGAGACACTCAAAGAGACAGTCACAGAGACACACAGAGACACTCACAGAGACAGAGAGACACACACGGAGACACTCACAGAGACACTCACAGAGACACACAGAAACACACAGAGACACTCAGAGACACACAGAGACACACAGAGACTCACAGAGACACAGAGACACACCGAGACACTCACAGAGACACAGAAACACACAGAGACACACAGAGACACAGAGAGACAGAGACACAAAGAGACACTCACAGAGACACACAGAGACACTCACAGAGACACAAACAGTGTGACACACATAGAGACACTCAAAGAGACAGTCACAGAGACACACAGAGACACGCACAGAGACACAGAGACAGTGACAGAGACACTCACAGAGACACAGAGACACTCACAGAGACACACAGAGACACACAGAGACACTCACAGAGACACTCACAGAGACACACAGAGACACACACAGAGACACTCACAGAGACACACAGAGACACACAGAGGCACAGAGACACAGAGAGACACAGAGACACACAGGGACACAGAGAGACACAGAGACACACAGAGACACTCACAGACACACACAAAGACACAGAGAGACAGAGACACTCACAGAGACACTCACAGAGACACAGAGAGACACTCACAGAGACACTCACAGAGACACAGAGACACTCACAGAGACACTCACAGAGACACAGAGACACTCACAGAGACAGTGACAGAGACACAGAGAGACAGAGAGACACAGAGATACACTCACAGAGACACTCACAGAGACACACACACAGAGACACACACACACAGACAGTCACAGAGACAGAGACACACACACACAGAGACACACACACACAGAGACACTCACAGAGACACTCACAGAGACACTCACAGAGACAGAGACACAGAGACACTCACAGAGACAGAGACACAGAGACACAGAGACACTCACAGAGACACAGAGACAGACACACACAGAGAGACAGAGACACACACAGAGAGACAGAGACACACACAGAGAGACAGAGACACACACAGATACACTCACAGAGACACACAGAGACACAGAGACACACACAGAGACACTCACAGAGACACAGAGACACACACAGAGACACAGAGACAGAGACACAGAGACACACAGACACACAGAGACACACACACAGAGACAGAGACAGAGACACAGAGCGACACAGAGACAGTCACAGAGACACACACAGAGACAGAGAGACACACAGAGACACACACAGAGACACAGAGACAGAGACAGTCACAGAGACACAGAGAGACACAGAGATACACACAGAGAGACAGAGACACACACAGAGAGACAGAGAGACACACAGAGAGACAGAGAGACACACACAGAGAGACAGTCACAGAGAGACAGACACAGAGAGACAGACACAGAGACAGAGACACAGAGACACACACAGAGACACTCACAGAGACACACACAGAGACACACACACAGAGACACACACAGAGAGACACACACACACACAGAGACACACACACAGAGACAGTCACAGAGACACACACAGAGAGACACACACACAGAGACACAGAGACAGACACAGAGAGAGACACTCACAGAGAGACACAGAGACACACACACACAGAGACAGAGACACACAGAGAGACACACACAGAGAGACAGAGACACAGAGACACACAGAGAGACACACAGAGAGACAGAGACACACAGAGACACAGAGACAGAGACAGTCACAGAGACACACACAGAGAGACACTCACAGAGACACACACAGAGAGACACACACACAGACACACAGAGACACAGACACACACAGAGAGACAGTCACAGAGAGAGACAGAGACAGAGAGACAGACACAGAGAGAGACAGAGACACACAGAGACACTCACAGAGACACACACACAGAGACACTCACAGAGACACACAGAGACACTCACAGAGACACAAACAGTGTGACACACACAGAGACACTCAAAGAGACAGTCACAGAGACACACAGAGACACACAGAGACACTCACAGAGACACACACAGAGAGACAGACACAGAGACACACACAGAGAGACAGTCACAGAGAGACAGTCACAGAGAGACAGACACAGAGAGACAGACACAGAGACACACACAGAGAGACAGTCACAGAGAGACACAGAGAGACACACAGAGAGACAGAGACACACACAGAGAGACAGAGAGACAGTCACAGAGAGACAGAGAGACAGAGAGACAGAGACACAGAGAGACACAGAGAGACAGAGACACACAGACAGACACAGAGAGACACACACAGAGACACACACACACAGACAGACACAGAGACACACACACACAGACACACACAGAGAGACAGAGACACACACACAGAGACACACAGTGACACACACACAGAGACACAGAGAGACACACA